GGGAGAGTGAGGTAGGCGCCTTTGTGCAGATCCGCCTCTATGCAGGCGCACCAAACGCACGGATAATAATGGATAATAATACCTAAATGGCCGATCATCGATTCGAATCCCGGTGAATCGATGATTCGATTGTTTCTGTTATTGCGCGCCCGGCCATCTGCGTCCGACTCGGCCGAAGTGGGCCGCTCGTGCGGCACAAACTCGAATTCCGGCCTATGGATCAAACGTGTGTTTTTGTGAAACAAGTACCCGTTGAACGGGTAAATATTGCTCGTGAGAAGGATTCCACCCCGTAATTTCGGTCGATTCGCTGTCGAACCGGGTAAATGGTAACTCTGGCGTATCTCCAATTTTCGGCACACTTAGGCGCACATCGTTGACATTTTAGCTATCAGGGCACGATGTTAAATGTCGTCCAAAATGACTTGGACATTCTGAATTGAGCATAGGCGATCATCACTTACCTGATTCTTGCCTTTGAGAACGAGGACGTTAGTAACGCGACCGAAGGGTGCACCAAGATGGACGATTTCACCCACTGACACCTCGTTGGGGATATTTCTGATATGGATAACTCTCGAAGGTTTGCTGTTGTGGCTCTTGTCAAGTTTAACCTGTAACAAATGAAAATAAGTACCATTTAATATATGTTTAATACAACACAATTCATGTTTCTATAAAACGATCCCAAAGAAACATCCAAGGAACTGTTCAGACTTAAAAGGAATCGATATCAATAAACGTGAAACTTCGGTTTCACGTAATAAAAGTAACCCCAGTGTGTATTTACTGGCCGATCAAAGTTTCTCGACAAACCTCGTATTTGTCCCCAGAAATACGCTTTTAAAATTCTATTAGGCCTCGTTAAAATGCCTTCGAACGAAAGCCACACACACGCGCGTATACCTCGACTTCCTGATAAACCCTCGAAAGAACTCGGGGGGTCTCCATTGGTTACCGCGTGTAAAAGTAACGAAACTTTTCGCTCGCGTATACATTTAAATCGAAACCCTTGTTGCCGGGGGCAGAATTTTCAATCACGGCTCAATCTAGTCGACTCGGCCCGCAGTCAGTCCCCTCCTCCTCCACCCCCTTTCTCCCTAGACTCTCTCCTCTACGCCCGAACTCTGCCTCCGCGACTCTCTTGTACTCCGCCCCGAACTTCAGTCTTTTTCTTCCTCGCGCAACCGTCTTTTCCACTCTCGGGAAGAGTTGTTGGGGTTTGTCGGGTTTAACTGATCGGAAAATGCGCTCCTTACCGAGTTAAGGAAGACGGACGTTTCTGTGAAAGTCGGCGGTCTGTCAGGTTTTCTGTATGTTTTTTTTTTTTTTTTTATTTGGGTAAAGACACCACAAAAAGATCCGAGTTTACTTAAGGGACCCATCTACTAACGAACTTTCCATAATCTTTCGAACTTGTGAGTTTTGTAGTCGACAGACACTGCTTGCGGGAACGAAGTCATATGCGTAGTCATCTAGCAGTAGTCGGGGAAACTAACGACACTCTTCACCAGAGATGGGCGAACTAATTATCTAGATAAAATGCTTCGAATAACGAATAAAAGATAAAAAAAAGTATTTCGTCATTTTTAATTGTTTAAACGTGGAAATTTCAATTTTTATAATAAAATAGTACTTCGTTATGAATGAATCGACATTTGTCGAACAATTATTTAATATCATTAACTGTTTAAAGCTCAGAACGACACCGTTAGGTACTGCTGCGTTTCACTGTGTATTATTCGAATACAATTTTGCCGAACTCTGCTCTTCACATTATACGACCCACTGATAAATTTAATGTAACTGAAATAAGATTGACAAAACTAGTTGCTTAAAATATTTCACATAGTTTCAAGTGAACAATGTTCGAAATTTTTATGTTATTGCAATATTTATAGTTCATAGATTACATTTCCAAGGATAATGATACGATTCGATTAAATCTCCATTTCGAAACATTTCAGAAGGAATTGAATACAATGCAACGAGTTCGTATAATGTATTATCGTATATTAATGGATAATTGAGTACAGTATAGTGCATAATAAAGACATACTTGTACATACCTCAATGCACAGCAGAAAATTTATCGTACACGGTTCGTTACTTTTCAATTGCATTATAATATGCCATCGCGTACCATCGACCATCTATTTCGAGTAATTATTCAATCCTCGATTACATTTAATAACCGCACTGAATATTGTTGTATTCACGAAATAAAACAGGTTACAGGAATTTAGTCCATCGTTTAACAGAAACTCACGCCACCGATATTTCTTAAATACCCAGTCCCGGTTCACAGTTAATAAATCACCATCAACATATTCATGAATGATGATACAAGATATACCCGGTGGCACGGACGTCGATTTTCCTGTCACCTTTACGGTTCGCGGAAAAATCTATACGTCAGACTCACCGCTGTTCTCCCATGATTTATTTCCTCCAGACTCTGTGCCCGCGTCGATATTTCATAAATTGGAAACACATTTGGATAATTCATTCCTCGTGAAAGATGCATTCTGTCACACCCAAAAATTAATCAAATATATTTACATATAAATCCATAACGAAAAAAAAAGGAAAAATTTACAAAATCGTTATCTACATAAATCGATCTAGAAACTAAATTATCCTACAATTCCCTAGAAGTCGTGATCATTCATATTTTCTCAACCTCGTTTAATGTTCTGGTCGGATTCGTGGTTTCAGCACCTGAAAACTAAAAAATAATCTCCCTGACAGTATAATAAGTCGCGGAGAGTAACTCAACAATGGACCGTGCGAATTGAAGCGCGTCAGAATCCGAATCCACGTGCGTCGGTGAATACCCTGTCCGAGCAACTTTTTCCCTCTTGCGTTTCTGTCGACCAGGGTGGGGAGGTTAAAGGATAGAAGAATTACCGCGGGGGAAGGGGGGATCAAAAGAAGTCGAGGGGTTTAATTTCAAAGGTTAGCTGCTGCTGCCCAGGGGCCTCCTCTCGAGGTTTCCTGTTACCCGAATTCACCTCTAGCCACTTCAGAAGACTCGAAACTCATCTTCACAAACTCCGCGAAAAGGACAGGTGGAGAGGGGGTGGGGGAACCAGCGAGAAAGAAGAGTAGGGGTACGGAATGGGAGAACCGCGGAAAAGAAATGGAGAGACAGTCCGTGGAATATGGCTCCAACGGAAACCTCGTAAAACAGCTGCTTATACGTGCTTCGGCTCTCTAAGGCTCGAAGGTAACGATAAGAAACGACGATAAATAGGAGTAAATTTCAGAGACAGGTGAGAGAGAAGAGCCGGCCGTGAATTCCTCGTAAAATAAACTCAAAACGATCTCCGTTTTATTGGAATCCAGCCCCTTCACCCCCGGTGGTACTTGTTCGATACTTAAACACAATGTTCAACTGACTGATCGAGGTTTCTTCCCCTTTAAAACAGTAACGGAATGTAGAAACCTTGGCTATGAGACCACTTATATTGAAATGAAATTTTTAAATTTTGGGTGAAATCACCATGCGTAGTTTGGTAGGTAGAATGGGTAAACATAGAGACGTTAGCCACTAGGTGCCAGTGCCAGAGTTGCCAGGGGTAACTAGTCTAAGCTATGAACTTGGCGAAATTTTGTAGAGACCCAGGGGTCCTCTCTTACCTAGACATCTACAAAATCTCGCCAAGTTCCAGGTTTAGAGTAGCTACCCCTGGCAACTAGGGACTCTAGAGGTCAGCCTCGTCAGGATCCCTACAAAATTTCGTCAAGTTGATGGTTTAGAGTAGCTACCCCTGGCAACTAGGGACTCTAGAGGTGTGTCTTGCCTAGATCTCTACAAAATCTAGCGAAGTTCGTGGTTTAGAGTAGCTATCCTTGGCAACTATGCGATCCAGAGGCTTTGTCTCACCTGGATCCCTACAAAATTTCGTCAAGTTGATGGTTTAGAGTAGCTACACCTGGCAACTAGGGGATCTAGAGGTCTGCCTCACCTGGATCTTTACAAAATCTCGCTAAGTTCGTGGCTTAGAGTAGCTATCCCTGGCAACTAGGGGATCTAGAGGCTTTGTCTCACCTAGATCCCTACAAAATTTCGTCAAGTTGACGGTTTAGAGTAGCTACCCCTGGCAACTAGGGGCTCTAGAGGTCTGTCTTGCCTAGACTTCTACAAAATCTCGCCAAGTTCCTGGTTTAGAGTAGCTATCCCTGGCAACTAGGGACTCTAGAGGTCAGCCTCGTCAGGATCTCTACAAAATTTCGTCAAGTTGATGGTTTGGAGTAGCAACCCCTGACAACTAAAGGCTCTAGAGGTGTGACTTGCCTAGATCTCTACAAAATCTAGCTAAGTTCGTGGTTTAGAGTAGCTATCCCTGGCAACTAGGGGATCTAGAGGCTTTGTCTCACCTAGATCCCTACAAAATTTCGTCAAGTTGACGGTTTAGAGTAGCTACCTCTGGCAACTAGGGGCTCTAGAGGTGTGTCTTGCCTAGATCTCTACAAAATCTAGCTAAGTTCGTGGTTTAGAGTAGCTATCCTTGGCAACTATGCGATCCAGAGGCTTTGTCTCACCTGGATCCCTACAAAATTTCGTCAAGTTGATGGTTTAGAGTAGCTACACCTGGCAACTAGGGGATCTAGAGGTCTGCCTCACCTGGATCTTTACAAAATCTCGCTAAGTTCGTGGCTTAGAGTAGCTATCCCTGGCAACTAGGGGATCTAGAGGCTTTGTCTCACCTAGATCCCTACAAAATTTCGTCAAGTTGACGGTTTAGAGTAGCTACCCCTGGCAACTAGGGGCTCTAGAGGTCTGTCTTGCCTAGACTTCTACAAAATCTCGCCAAGTTCCTGGTTTAGAGTAGCTATCCCTGGCAACTAGGGACTCTAGAGGTCAGCCTCGTCAGGATCTCTACAAAATTTCGTCAAGTTGATGGTTTGGAGTAGCAACCCCTGACAACTAAAGGCTCTAGAGGTGTGACTTGCCTAGATCTCTACAAAATCTAGCTAAGTTCGTGGTTTAGAGTAGCTATCCCTGGCAACTAGGGGATCTAGAGGCTTTGTCTCACCTAGATCCCTACAAAATTTCGTCAAGTTGACGGTTTAGAGTAGCTACCCCTGGCAACTAGGGGCTCTAGAGGTCTGTCTTGCCTAGACTTCTACAAAATCTCGCCAAGTTCGTGGTTTAGAGTAGCTATCCCTAGCAACTAGGGGATCTAGAGGCTTTGTCTCACCTAGATCCCTACAAAATTTCGTCAAGTTGATGGTTTAAAGTTGCTATCCCTGGCAACTAGGGACTCTAGAGGTCAGCCTCGTCAGGATCTCTACAAAATTTCGTCAAGTTGATGGTTTGGAGTAGCAACCCCTGACAACTAAAGGCTCTAGAGGTGTGACTTGCCTAGACCTCTACAAAATCTCGCTAAGTTCGTGGTTGAGAGTAACTACCCCTAGCAACTAGGGACTCTAGAGGTCAGCCTCGTCTGGATTACCACAAAATTTTGCCAAATTCATGGTTGAAAGTAGCTACCCCTGACAACTAGAGGGTCTAGAGGTCTGTCTTGCCTAGACCTCTACAAAATTTCGGCAAGTGCCTGGCTTAGAGTAGCTAACCAATCAGATCACCGTGGACTGACTTACGAAA